CCTCTCTTCCCCTTACTGACCTGCGTGGACAACCTGTCCCAGTGTCCACAGGGTAGGAAACCTGGACTGAGACCCATGCTTGGAGGCAGCCTGTCCAGTGGTGGCACTCTCAATGATGTAGCCTCAGAATTGAATGTAAGATTACAGCGGTAAATCAGTGGCCTTTTAGCTCTGCTCTGCTGTTTAGTGGTGACATTTTTGTTTTCTGTTTTATTTACCTGCACTTTATAATCATGTGTGCTTTTCTTTTCTGTTTTTCTTTACATTTATAGCTGATGCAGATGCATTTAAAATTCTCCTGGAGATGAAGATGAAGAAGAGGCAGAAAAAGCCTACTTTACCAAGTACTGTGACTGAGCTTGACACCGAGGATGGTTCTAAAGTATATGTGGTTGGAACAGCCCACTTCAGCGACAGCAGCAAAAAGGATGTAGTGAAGGTAAATACTAAGTGGGAGCCTTTCAGGAGCATGTTTGTGTTGTCAACTTGGCACTAAGTAGAATGAAGTCCAGCTGTCTGACTTGGTTCTGTGTTGTAATCTCCAAACTCTTTTCGCTTCGTGAGCTGTTGGAGGAATAACTGCACTGTGGGATGAGTCAAGAGGCAGACATATTATCTTAATCATTTTTTTGATGCAATACATTGCTCTCCCATCTCCACTATTTTTATTTGTCCTTAAACAACAAATGCAGATACAGTGCCAGCATTAAAAGTAGAAGTCTCACTAGTGAAGCTTACATTGCCTGTCATGATACAGCATCACATCAAGCCAACAGTGTGTACTGTGGTTGTTGCATGCTCACTGTGATGGGGACATGCTGAGAAGACACAAAGACTAGAACAGAAACTGCAGTTTACAGCTTCTCTGTGCTCAGGGTGTGTACTATTGAGCTGTAAAACCATGCTGCCCCAAATTTGGATTCCATTCTCAAGATGCAAATGGGTCCAAAGCTCTAATGAAAGTAGGAACTATTTCATCCTGCACTTCATGCAAAGTCTACAGTTTAGAGTGGCTTTATTCTCCAGGAGCTACATGGGGAGGAATCTTGTGCCAGAATCATCAACTCTGGTTCCTTGCAAAGCTTATTCTAACTCAGATTGCAAATGATCACAGAGTATGGTCAAAGGAACTTTGTGAATGTGAGAAGTTTAACATCAAGTTTTTTTCCACATATAGCCCCCAGTACAACATGTCCTACATCTTCCTGTCCCAAAGCATCCAATAACTAAAGCATTTTTCTGTCATCTTACTTGATGCTTTTCCCAATACATAGCTATTTGGAGAAGTCTTACTTACTCTTTCACCGTTCTTTTAATTGAAAATGGTGGCTGGAGTGTGCTTTTAAGTCCCCTTTCTCATGAAAGTATTGGTATTGACTGCCTTTCTGTTTAATCCTTCCTAATCTGGTGTAAATAAATTAATGTTTTTCAGACAATACAAGAGGTGCAGCCTGATGTAGTTGTGGTGGAACTATGCCAGTACAGGGTTTCGATGTTAAAGATGGATGAAAAGACATTGCTAAAAGAAGCCAAAGAAATAAATCTGGAAAAACTTCAACAAGCTATAAAGCAGGTATGATTATCAGAGTGAGAATTAAAGGTTTGTGTTAAGAGGAATTTGTCAAGTTACAACCAAAACCAGTGTTCCCATCAGCTGGGAACCTAATACTGTGCACTTAGGTGAGAGTACCATTACAGTGGCAACGTTAGGTTTGGTTTGGTGGTGTGTTTTTTTTTGTTTGTTTTTTTTTTTTTTTTTTTTTGCTTGGCTTTTGTGGAACAGAAGCCCTCAATG